TCCAATTGTACCATATTACAAATGAGCTATCACAAAACCAGACACTTCTACATAATGGAGCAAAGCACTTCTCTGATCCCCTCCTCTGTTTTATGTCCTTCCCACTTTACGAAAATCGCAAACAAATGAAACAACTCACCAGAAAGTGTGACATAGAATTACTCGTGCAACACATATCCTTCTCATCCTCCACTGGAAAGGGAAGAGTGCCAGGGAGCACTTGGTGAAGATGTGACGTCTGAACACGATTTCTGTGACCCTCAAGGACAAAGGGCTGAGCACTGGGAGGACCTTCAGAGAAGCAAAACACCCCAGTACTTCTCCTTTCCTCACCTTTTCAGGGAGGTTGGACATTTCACCTCTCTCTGCGGCAGCCATGTTGTTTTCTGGTATCTTTTCTAATTTCCTTGAATTGTTGATAGGAATGACTTCAAAATACTTTATCTCCTTCACGTGTTCTCACCCAGTTTGAAGTAAATATGTTGTCTGCACTCAATAGTACAGAAGTTCTGTGAGAACTTCACAGTGGTTAGGTGAAGCCCTCTCAACTGGTTTGAATCAGTACTGGGAATATTAGCTTCAACATCAAATTAGTTTCAGTGATTGTCAACAAGTATTTCCGGAACATCTAGTCAGCTTTGAACTCAGTTTAGCAGAAAGCCTCCGTGTTCTTGGGGAGCCCTGAAGTTTCCATGCACAAAAAAATCTGTCAATCACCCTGGCACCCTGAACTGCAGTACTGAAGAATGTCCACGGGCTTTTCTGAGTGTCTCCCTCAGATGTAAAATCACCCCCGATTGAGGTGCTGTTAAAACCAATCCTTTTACCTCAAGGAGATTTCCATTCAGTCAGGAGAAAATAGTGCACACATTAGGCAGTTAAATCATTAAGAGCTCAAAGCAGAACATGACCATGATGACAATAGTGTCTCAACTATCTGAAATCTGAAACGGCATACTATTTGTGTCCTAATAATTTTTTATTTGTTGTACATTTTCTTGCCTCATTCTTGATTTTCATCTTATGCTGTTTTCCCAGCAAATCTAAATTAAGAATCAAACGAGGGCCGGGGATTTAGCCCAGTGGTTCCTACACCTGCCTCGCAGGCGCAAGGACCTGAGTTCAATTTTGGTACAAAAAAAAAAAAAAAAAAAAAAAAAAAACCAACTTGGAAGTATTGCTTATGCTCTTTGTGCTTTAATTTAAATTATAATGTCAAATGTCTAATATTAAGGAAAGAGGTATCACATGGAGTCTGGGGTAAGCTCTCAGGAAATTAAGGGTACTTACTGATATCACTGACTTTCTGTCACTGTGGTTATGTGTCATTCCCCATTAAATATTTATGGAAAGTTTTCTCTGGAAGACGTTATCTTTTCTCTCCTACTTGTTATTTGAGAGCCAAATCTCTTTCCCTTCTTAAAGATAGAAGATAGAAAATACTCAATGTCTTATCTTTTTTAAAAATAGGGCATTGGAGACAATCCTGAAAGGAAAGAATGCAGATGCAGGTGGGTATAATGTTTCTGGGAGAAGTTCGATTCCAAGGTGAAAATAGAAACTGTTAAGACCAGTTCTTCTTTTTTCTTCATCTTGGTCACATGAAAATACAGCACCTGAAGATAAAGCAGGTGTTTTGGTGTTCAGCCAGTGGATGACAACAACATTTTATAAATGACAGGGGTGAAAAATAAACGGTCTAAAGTACATGGTGTGGTAACTATGGAGCAGAATTATTCAACCCTGTGTCCTCCTGCTTCCATCTTTGTTGTTAGGGAAGATTGTAAAAATCCTCACAGAGAACCCTCTGTTAGAAACGTTTTCTGTGAGTTGAAGCCAAAACATCCCCAGTTAATATTCTCTACCATAATCAAGACATTGTACCAAAAACAAACAAAAAAACATGGATTTAAAAACCAGTGAAAGAAACAAAAAGGAAGACAATTTCCATCTTTGGGTAATGCCCTGTAACATTATTGGAGATATTCTGTTTCTAGTATTAACAGTATGTCTTTAAAATAATTGTCAGCACAGATTGGACACAAATAACAGTATCTGTCCACTGGGTCTAACTAAGTCTAAAGTGGATTGAGTTGTGTCCAACAAATTCATATGCTGAATTTCAATCCCCGGAATATCTCAATATGGCCTTATTTGGAGGTTGGGTCCTTACAGAGCTAGTTAAAGTAAAGTAAGTTTGGGTTCAGTCCTAATCCAATGTAATCAGTGTCCTTATAAAAGGGGGGATTTTATTTTACAGATATGCAAGGAGGGAATGCCAGGTGAAGAGACTTAGGCAAAAGGTGGCTATCTACAAACCAAGTAGAGAGACTTGGAACAGACCCTTCCCTTAGAGCCTTCAAAAGGAGCTAATCTTTGTTACATCTTTGTCTTGGGTTTCTATCCTTTGGAATCCTCTCCTTCCTAGTTAAATGTGCCTCTGTCTTTTAAAGCGCAGGAAGAAAACCTTGATTGTTTATTCTTTCCCATTCTACATTTTATCAGTTGGCACTACTTTCAAATTTACTAGAATCTCATAGTTTGAGATTTTTGTTTAGGTTTGGCTCTAATTAAAATTTTACTAGACTCTCATGGTTTCCATTGCCTTTTGCTCATCAGTCACTATTGCCTTCTTTCTGATTATAGCAAAAAATATTGGTTTCTTTTGGTTTCACTCCTCTTTCCGTTAGAGGAAGCAGATCGAGCCTATTAAAATATGAGTCACTTCATGATACTGTTCAAAAATGTCCATTTGCTTATAAAAGACTCCATTAAAATCCAAGTTTCCCAGATGGACATAGACGTCTTCATGTCCAGCCTCTTACTTTTCTCTTAGTATGTTTTTAATCAGCTAAGGTCAGAGGAACATCCTGGACGATCTTTGGAGAGTCCGTCACTCTTCATTTCATTTGCAGCTTGTCTCTTTGGATCACTATTTCCCCCCAATTTGCTGGGCTCACTCCTTTACCTCCTCTAGGTATTTCATTTGAAAAGCCCTAATTTTCCTAATGAGATCTTTCCTGAGTACTTTATTTAAACATCTAATTGCTGTCTGCTCTGAACCCTAGCCATAATCTACTCCTTCCCTGCATTCTTACTTGTATCAATAGCATCTGTTGCCATAGTTATACTACTTATGTTTGTTATTTATTTGACTGATGCCTGTCTCCCTATTATATTGCAGTCTTTTGAAGGTAAGGATTCTTTTTTTCTGCTTTGCTAAATTAACTGTTCTGTTTTTAGAGCACAGAACAGTGCCTAAGGAATGTAGGCACCCAAAAAACATGTAAGCAGTGAGTGCATGAACAAAAAACTTATTTCACTGTCATATATTACAAAAAAAGTATCTCCAGGGTATTTGAAATTATCAAGATAGTTCTATGGTTTTTAGGAAGTTATTGTAAAAAAAAAAAGTAAAGCAACTGTCCCTGCAGTATATATAATGTTCTAAAGCCAGTGAATAAATAATTAAGTGCTTCCTATGTGCAAATCCTTGCTATAATATAAGATCATATTTTCAAATTTAAGACCATGAACATATTAGGGGTTTAATGAAATTTCACTCACAGATTTAAAGCAAGGATATAGTATAACTTTAAACACCACACTTTGTGACTACCTGGGCGAATATTATTTGTATTGCTGTTTTTCCCTCTTTATTGAAACCTTGTTCATATGTCCTTGGGTTTCATAATTATCCAAGTGGATAGGTAGCTTTCTCAGTAAATAAATTATAGTATTCTTTCTTTCTCTTTTTTTTTCTTTTTGACGTTTTCTTGTTTTTACATTTTTATCAGTACATGCTTATAGTACATAATGTTTATGTTTCTTCGAGTTTGTACCTGTACATAACACATCTGAATTCCTTTTTCACCCCCTTTCCCTCTCCTCCCTCCACCTCTTGATCCTCTTCCTATTTGAGAAAGTTCTATCTCCCTACTTCCTATTATCTATTTTTATTTTGCTCTTTATTTAAGGTTTGGGTTTCTAAAGCAAGTAGCAGACTCCACTTTTGTTGCTGCATAGTTTTATCAAGCTAGTGTGTAGGAGGTAAAGTAAAATGAATTTGTTATAGATTTACATTCTTATAATAATAGAATTTGTTTGAGACTTCTTAGAACATTAGTACATATAGCACAGAAGCAGTGTGTGCATGTTTTCCTTGTGTCTTTGCTGGCTATAGACAGAAGCTCTGTGATTTCAAGCCCTGTCAATTGCTGTAGACTCAGGCATCAGTATTTTCAGGGGGATTCTAAGCATAGTTGTGGACTTCATTTAAGGGGCATCAAACCATCAAACACAGGTGTATTTAAAGTCGATATGCAATGATTTTCAGAATTCAAATACCTAAAAGGCTTCCCTTCACTCTTGGGTCTAAATCAGGCCTTTAAAACAAACCAACACTGTATCTGGTTTACATCATTCTTGGTGAAAGCAAAGGTTTTTTGTTTTGTTTTATTTTGTTTTGTTTTTGGTCTTTGGTGAATGTGAATGGGCAATGTGGCAAGGAGGAAAAATAAATGTTCTCCAAAGTGATACAGGAGACATGAAAGCAAATACTGAAACTATAGACTTCTGGCAAATAATAACCATGGAGATTCTTGCCAAAGATTTTGCAGTGAAACGGTGTACAACTCTTTCGAATAAATCTATATAGAATCACAGATGAAGACTCTTGGACAATCCCCCCTCTGCCTCTCTCCATGTCTGAGTATCTCCCCTTCTCCTTCCTCCTTCTCAAACTAATTTAAAGTTGTGGAACTGTTCCTTTTCTGTAACTCATAATCAAGGGGCAGGCACCCATTTCCCTTAATTCTACAGAATGTGTATTCCGGGACTAATTAAAACCCCCGTTTCTTAGCTTAGAACTCTTGACTCTTTTTTTTTTTTAATTTTATTTTTTGATCAGGTCTTCTAGAAGCAGAATCTGAGATAGGGATTCTTACGCAAGCAAAACTTTAAGGAAGAGAGTTCTCAGCAGAGACTGTAAGGAGCAGAGGGAAGCAGGAGAAGGCAGAAGGAGAAGCTAAGCCAGGCTGTGATTTCCAGCGACACACAGCCTTGCTCGATCTGAAGACAAGCTACGGAGTTTCTCTAGAATGTGTCGCTTCTGCTGTGGAGCCAGCTCTCTGCTTTTGTGTCAGCGATTGCAGGCTGTCACTGTGAGGGCGGATTCCAGTACAAGCCGCTACCTTCAGCCAAGGGCGATTTCCAGGGAACAGTGGCTGTGAGCCGCTATTACTCACCCTCATGGCAGCTGAGAGGCAGATGCAAGAGCCGAGTAAAGGGAGTGTAGATGGAGCAGTGAGAAGATGTGGTACTCATGCTCCCGTGTTCTGGCTTCCCCCATTCATTCTTTTCCGTCTTTGTTCATCTTTCTCTCTCTTGTAAACTCTCTTTTGTTTTCTTCTTTCATAGTGCTAGAGTTTAAGGAACTGCCACTTCTTTAACCTCCTCTTGAGGAACCAGATAATGGTTCACTACGAGATGCTTCAGACAACTGGCGGAGTAGAATAACGTTTATTTAACTATATCTGCATCTGGAGTGGATCCTCTTGGCTTCTCCCCGGTAACTGTTCCCACTTCCTTTCTTTCCTGTGCCCAAGGCTTGTGTTCCTTTGCAGAGCCTGGAAAGCTGGGCGCTCCCTTCCCCAGCCTCTCTTTGTTTTCATGTCCTGGCCGGGGATGGAAGAAATCTTGGGAGGACTCATAGAGGAGGAAAATCACCTTGGCCTTGCTGTGACGTTTCGATGCTAGGAGCTACTTCAGACACTTTACCAGCCCACGACCAAGCCCACAGAAGCTCAGCGAAGTCGTGCTGCCAGCGTGTCCCTGAGGTAACCCTTGGACTTGCTGTGGACTTTCATCACTATGGATGAGTAAAATAAAAGCTCACTCTATTTTTGTGATAAAACCTCGATGTGAGAATGTGGGTAAGTCTCAAGAATTACATAGATCAGCTCCCTCTTCTCCAAATTGTTGGCAGCTGAGCACAGCCAGCTGCATGATAGTACATTGTGGACTTTTCCCAAGAAAGAAAACAGGAGGCATCAGTGGTCCAGTTTCTAAGGTGAGAAGGAATAGGAAGCTCAAGAATGCAACCGATGGGGATCTGAGCAGCTGATCTTCTATGCCTGGACACAGGTAGCTCTAGGGGACATGGCAGGAGAGGTCTGTTTTGTGGGTACTTTCTGCACACCAGGGCAAGGTGTCTGTAGAGCCCAGACTCTGTCCCAGCTGCCAGTCACTCTTGTGCCCTGGAGGAAATGAGTAAGGGTGGGAGAGAGGATGCAATGGGCACCTCTCATACTCTGTAAGAGGGAGCAGTAGTCTTGGTTTCATTTCCTTTGGCCAACAATGAAGTAAAGAATGAGAAAGAGACTCTGTCAATAAATAGCAATAACAATAATAATTATATGACAATATTGTGTAAGATCCACTTCACTGCAAACTTTGTATTCTGTGTTGCCTCAGCTTCCGAGTAATTCCAGAAATCTGGCCCTAGTCTTGCTCTCCGAAGCTCCTTGTACTCTCTTCTCTTCAGAATTCCTCTGCTTTGTTGAGGTCTGTACAAAATCCAGTATTCTGCTCACACACCTCTTCCATGGATTCAGTGAGCAATGTTCCCCTCAGTTGCTGAGCTTTCCTGCTTTCTCCCCTTGTTTATGTGGAAGCCAAGGACAAGGAATCAGGGTGACAGCAGTGGACACAGGGCTACTGAAGGAAAGCCATGCTTTTTTATTCCAAGTGCATTAAGCTTGGGAATGCTTATTGGTTTCACACATTTAGATAAATTAATTAAATAGAAGGGAATTCAAATGATTGTTCTTGCAGAACATTTCCTATGGAAGACTGGTTCTCTGATATATTAGTAGATGTCTCTGAGATATTAGTAGAAATGAGTTTCATAAGCACATACATTTAGAAAAGCTCTAGAGTTAACTAAATTTTTAAATTTCACTTTAAGGACTTTTCAAGACTTTTAACCTTAACTGTAACTTCTCAAAATGGGACGCGGCCTGTAGAGTTTCACGCAATTAGCCAGTCATGAGTCCGACTGGGTAAGGAGTGCTTCTTAGTATTTAGAATGAATATTTTATGGAATTTACTTTGAGAAATGCTTCCCCAGAAGACATGAATAACTTTCTTTCTTAGTATCATTAATGACCCAGTTACTAATGTGACAACAAGTGTATTCATCAGCAAAAGTTCTACCTCAGTCACATTGATGTAATTCTCTCATTTATATAAGTAATACTTGATTTTTATACATGCTGTAAGGCCATACACTTTTTCTTTTGCAGGTGAGTTAGTCCCTTGTTTTCTTGCTTCAAGTAATCCATCCAAATATGTTCAAAAGAATACTTTAACAAAGATGAGAAATATACATATCACTAAGCCCTAAGACAACCAAGAGAAAGAAATAAAACAAAAAAAACCAAAATAAATGTTATAAATCACTGCAGTGATCTAGATTTCTGGCTAACTCTAACTAAAAGCAAGTACTGTAAATATATAAGAAACTATAAGGGATACGATAAAAAATTGGTTTTCTTTTTTGAGAATGAATTATAAATATTCTCTGCAGTTTCACCACTAATGTGTACATTTTATAGGGCAAAGTTTCAAGAGCAGAAGAGTACTTTCACAGTTACATGAAAATATCTAAAAGGTGTGAGGATCGAGAAATGCTACAAAGCTCAAGATAGGAGGAAGTGCGCTGGGTTTGGAACTGAGAGAAGACAGCAGCAGCTCTGACATTGTTTAGAAGGGAATGTACACTCTTGGAAGGGATTTCTGGCTTATTAGCATTTCTGTTTCTAGATCATTCTATTTCAACCCATTCATATTTCTAAATGGATGTCACCACTTTAAAAGCATTTGAAAATAATTTATCAGAGCTACATGTTTTTGGTACATGGGAGTGATTGAAAAATTTGGTGAATGTGGTCAGGAAGGACGGGATAGCCGGGCGTGGTGGCGCACACCTATAATCCCAGCACTCCGGAAGCTGAGGTAGGAGGATCGCTATGAGTTTGAGACCAGCCTGGGCTACATAGTGAGTTCCAGGTCAGTCTCAAGTACATAGTGAGACCCTGTCTCAAAAAACAAAAAACAAAACAAAACAAAACAAACAAACAAAAAAAGAAGGATGAGATAATAACAATGACACTAAAGGCGATGGGGACTCTTGAATACTTTGAATGATATTAATGACGGTGTGTCCTCTACTGTGTTAGAATATTCTATTTAAATGTTCACGGTTATTTTGAGGACTCATTGTGCATATTTTTCCTACATGAATATTTGCTCTGGTGTCTTCAAGGAATGAATGACATAATTATGCATTGAACATGATTTACTGGATATTTCAGGAGCTACAAGAAAGAGAACCAATGAACCTAGAGGATGTAAGATAAAAGGTGAGGTGGGGATCATTACCTAGCTAGTTATTTGTATATATTTATATAGTTTGGGGGTTTGTGTAAGTATGTGTATATGTCCTTAGAAAGAGGTGTTCTAGTCCAGTTTGTGAAGATTTTTCTTTACAAAGCTCTAGTTCAGGTAGAACTTGATAAGGTTTGGTAATTGGGAGGCGGTATCTCTTACTGCTCAGATATCTGTCTGCCTTGCTCAGCACAGCCGACTTTGCCTCTTCTTCCCTGGACCTGAGGATTTGTTATTGTACCAGGCAAGGTCATCTCACACGCACTGACTGCTGGCCTTTTCCACAAATCTCTTCCAAAGAAATATCTGAGATGGGCCAGAGCTTTATTTCCTTCTCAGATACATAATTATTCAGGTTTTAATTAAAATATTCTTAAAAATGAGTGTTTTGGAGCCTTGACACTTGCATTTTGGCTAAGTGATACTTTGCAGCAAATATGGCAGCTGAACAACCATTGATTATCACATAGTTTCCATGGGTCAGCAGTTGAAGCGACTGTGGCTCAGTTGGTCCTCTGCTTGTAGTCTCACAGCTGCAGACCTTTCTGGAAACTCCAGAGGTGCATTAGATTCTAGGATCATTCAGGTTGTCCTTTGAATTTGATGCGAGGGGATTATAGATCTCAGGCTCCTGTTCCTTCATGAGCTGGTGGCTGATGGTCATTCTCAGCTTCTGCAATTCTCCCTCATTTGAAAGGCTTGTGGGGCCCTTCCAGCAGAAGTTGTAGGTCCAGAAGTCCTTACACTTCTGATTTCTCTGACCTTCCTCTTCTGCTTTATTGCTCTATCCTGCCCCTTCACCAACATCAATCTACTGACTCCATAGAGAAATTTCTTCATCTTTAAAGGTTCAGTCAACTAGATGGGGCTCAAATGTCCATTCCAACACAATGTCCCTATTTTAATATTCATAACCTTAATGTCATCTGCAAAATCTTTTCACAACAGTGCCTGCATTAGTGATGACCAGCAAGAAGATGGGAATCTTAGGGGGCACATCTTTATAAATTCTGCCCACAAAAGCAGCATAATTTGAAATATGATTAAATGAGGATAATTGTAATCCTTACATATGAATAAAAAGTAAGTGTCATTCTTTCTCTCTGATTCTTTCATTTACTGATTTGGCCACTGTTTTTGGGAAAACCATTTATTATTTGCCTTGTGCTGAGTGAGACACATAATACAATAGTAGAACTAGATCTGTGCTGTTCATTGTGGTAGCCCCCAGGTACCTAGGTAGCTATTACAAACTTTAAAATGTAGTTGAGACTGAAGAATGGAATTTTTCATTTTATTTTTAATTTAAATTAATGTACCAATAAAGGTTTATATTTGTCTAGTGGCATATGTTGACAGCACAGATACGGACTATTTTGATAATTGTAGAAAGTTCTACTGATAGCGCTGTGCTGAACAAGTAAAGTTGCTGCTCTCAGTTTATATCATAGTATGAAGTAAGCAAACCTTTTTGAGGTGGGTCAGACAGTAAATATCCTAAGCCATATGGACCAAATGCTTTCTGTTTTTAACTATTTGACTTTTTCTATTGTTTTTGAAAGCAGGCATAGACATTAATAAATGAGTCAGTGTGACTGTATTTTCTAATAAAACTTTATTGTCAAGTACACATGAGGGATCACGTTTGGCCGATGATTGTACATTCTGTTTCTAATGAGGATAATTCCTAAAGCATTTAACTGGATGCTGTTGCTAAGCCCCAGTTTGTTAAAAATCTTTGCTTTTGCTGGTAGACCAAATATTCTAACAATGTTCCATCTAGCACATTGTATTGAGTTTTGGCATTTCATTAATTTGCCAGAGTTACCATACCAATATACCTGGTGCTTTTAAAGACTTGGTATCTTAAACAATGGAAATTTATTTTCTCATGGTCTTAAACTTACAGAGCTAGTTTTCAGTTCTCCTGAGACTTCTCTCCCTGCTTGCACATTGCTCCTTCCCTCTGCATGCTCAGGTGCTCATCCCTCTGGGCACTCACATGTCTCCTGTCTATATTTCTTGATCTTGTAAAGACACCAATCAGATCAGACTAGGGACCACATGAATGGCTTCACTGTAACTCATTCACTCCTGCAAAGGTCTTATCTCCAAGTATAATTAGCTTTAAGAACACTGGGAGTTAGAACTTCAGTGAGTGAATTAGGGGGAAGCAAAATTCAGCTGGTATTATGCCTTCAGTATAGAATAGTGCTTGCTAAATGTGGCAAAAAATCCAGCCTACTCAAGAGCCTAGCAATGTGTCCCTAGTTGTTCTGTAGGGGACTCAGGTGAATAAATTTGGAATATGGATGGGGAAATGAGATTTTTTAAGTTCCCTGGATAGGAAAGATAATCAACCAGTTGGGAACTACTGCTCTATCATATATCCAAATGCAACTTATTAAGAAATTTAGACCGGTGTAAGTAATGTATCACATGTAACTCTTCAAGGGCCTGGTGTTTGCATCTCTAAGCACCAATTCTGAAAATCAATTTAGTTTAAATTCTCATACTTTTTCCTAACCTATGAAAATTTTGAGTAAGCAAGGTGCCCTTGGGAAAAGACAAACTCTTTCAGAGATGGTACCAGGACCCTAAAATAGAGGACATTTGTTCCATCTGCTTTACTACAAGAGGTGCTATGTGTGTGCATGATGATGATGATGGTGAGGAAAAGGAAGACTTTGCTTTTGATTTTAAGCATTATTTTAAAAAATACAAACAATTAAAATCTTTACTTTGCAATATAAAGCTCAAAACTAGGAAACCACAGGCTGCCTACCCATCTTCCCTTTGTAACTCTTAATCACAGTGTATCAACATGAGTAGGTTAAGAAATAGATTAACAACGCCCCTTTCTGGGTGGATTTGGGGATGAGTGACAGGTAGGTTAGTTGAGCTAAGCAAAATGATTCACAACGTGAAAAGGTTTCAATCAGTAATCCAGGAGATTTAAATGATATTGAAAGTCAGAAGAAAAGAACAACAGAAAAGAACAACAGAAGGGCAGAGTTTCAAAGTTAGGACTTTGGGATGCTTTCAAACACCTACTACTCAGGGTTTTCTTAAAAATGCCAAGAACATTAAAAATGGGTCCAACATAGCCAGGTGTGGTAGCACAAGCCTGTAATCTCAGCACTTGGGAGGCTGAGGCAGGAGGATTACTGTGAGTTTGAGACCAGCCTGGACTACGTAGTGAGTTCCAGGGCAATCTCAAGTACATAGTGAGACTCTGTCTCAAAAAAAAAAAAAAAAAAAAAAA